GCCAAAGCACACGACTGTTTTTTTAATCTAATATCACTCTTATGTGATGTTATTCTATCCTTTAATACCCTAGACGTTTGACCTATATAAATTTTATCACAATTGTTACAAGGAATGCCATATACCACCCCAGACCTTTTTAAATTATCATCAGTGTCTTTTAATTTACTATGTATATTGCCAATTTTTTTTGTATATTTTTGTGTTAATTTAATGTGATTTTCATTTTTAAAAACATTTAACAAATTTGGAGTAACATTTTCAATAAAAGGAATAGAGGCATAAAGGGCCAGTTGGTTTGATTGATCACTATTACTATCATTGTTATTATTATCTTGCATATTATGTTCAGAAACACCTGTGGGATTAATTACAGTGAATTGATTACTTGTATTAAAAATTAACCTTTTCAAAAAAAACCGTGGGTAAGAATTTTTTAAAAAAATGTAAAGTATTTTTAAATTTTTGTCCACTAGACTAGGATGGCTGATTCTTTGTATTCTTGTTTTCATTGCCAACACCAAATTTATTTTCATTTTTTTCGTATGTTTACGAGGTGGTATATGGCATTCCTTGTAACAATTGTGATAAAATTTATATAGGTCAAACGTCTAGGGTATTAAAGGATAGAATAACATCACAAAGAGTGATATTAGATTAAAAAAACAGTCGTGTGCCTTGGCTGGGCATAGTATTTAAACAGGACATAAACCAAATTTTAGTGAAACAAAAGTGATTTGTACAGAAAATAATTATAATAAAAGAATTTTTTGGAAGCTTTTGAAACAGCCTTTAATGATGATGCGTTAAATAAAAAAAGAGATACACAAAATTTAGTTATGAATTACTCATATTTGTTGGCATTATCTAAACAAAATTGACATTGTATATTTATAATTGTTCATAATTTTTAAATTTTTTATAATGTTAGAAAAATTAAATTCCAGTTTTTTCTCCCTGCCAGTCTGTGATAAGATTAATACTTAGTAGACTTATTTTACGTTTAAAATTTTATTCAGTCGAGACTAGACAGCTATTCAGAGCAATGAAAATAAAAATAAAAATTTTATACTATCCATTAAGTTTTAAGATGTA